ATTTATGGTGACAGGGATGCTAAAGACAGAAGAAAAGAACTGCCCCAAATCATCTACAAGCAAAGCCTCAAAGAAAAACACAGCTTGGGCACAAATTCAACTAGAATTTCTGGAAGAGATGAAGCAGAAAAAAAAGTTGAAAACGTTTTAAATCAGTGAAATGTGAGCATTAGAAGAAAAGAAAAAGAAAAAGGAATGAGAAGTTTGGAATAAGTGTTTAAAATGGGGATTAACAGCTTGACGCTAGGGGTGCAAACCCTTGCTTAGGCAACAAACTTCTTGAAAATTAAAATGGAGGAAATGGAAACCCATGAGATCACAAGAAATATTAAAACAATGAGAAAACAAAAAAAAATGGAAGAAAATGTAAGGTATTTCATAGCACAAACAACTGGCCTAGAAAACAGATAAGGAGAAAAAAATTGAAGAATCCCTGAACTCTCTGAATGCCATGCCCTCCAAAAGATCCTGGACACCATATTTCAAGAAAATTGAACCAGAGGGCACCGTGGAATAGAAAGAATGCACCGGTGACTTCCTGAAAGAAACTCCAAAGTGAAAACTCCCAGGAACGTGATGGCTAGGACCCAGAGCTTCCACAGCAAAGAAAAAAAATAGTGCTAGCTTCTAAAAAGAAAAACTTCAAGTACAATAGGATTGCACCCTGGTTAACAGGGGCCACTCTGAAGGGGTTCGGGGCCTACACTGCCGAATGCCAGAAGGCAGGGATCAGTCTGACGCCCAAGAGTGACTTACCCAGAGCAATGAAGTATAATAGTACAGGGCGGGGTGGGGGGCGGGAACCTTTGATGACGTTGAGGATTTCTATCTCAGCTTTCCTGAAGAAAAGACCAGAGCTGCCTTGAAGCTCAAGCATAGAGACTGAAAAAGGATAAACTGTGTTATCACGTATAGGGGGATGGTGCATGTGTCCCCTCTGAGTAGTCATAGAGAGAGTGTAATTAGACAAGGCCATGGAGTGGTTAAGAGAAGAATAGAGAGAGAAAGGAAGAGGAATATACCAGGTGGGGGAGGAAGATAAGGTGAAGCAAAGTAATCAGGGTGCACAAGTAGACACCTGGACGAACAGGGAGGGAGGGGGGTCAGAGAAATAGCCGACCATTAAGCTTCACTCTCATCTGAACTGGTCAGAGGAGGAAAGATTACACACATGTTCATACATGTATGCACGGAGTATCAGGTAGAGAAAAGCATTTCATTCAACGGGGAATTCAGCAGGGAGAGAAAGGGGAGAAAGAGATGAGGGAGAGTTAGAGGAAAAGATAGGTTAAGAGGAGGATTAGTTCTAAATAAAACACCTTAAGGATCTACAAAAATACCTATAGCTCTTGTTGAGGTGGCAAAGAATGAGAATCGGAGGAAGTGCCCATAAATTGGGGAATGGCCAAGCGAATGATGGTATGTAATACGGGGATGGAACACTGAAGAGCTGCATGATGATGAAGGGGATGGTTTTAGAGAAGCTTGGGAAGATCCGTATGAACCGATGCAAAGTAAAGTGAAGAGAGCCAGGAGAACGATTTATACGGTAACAGTAGGGTACAGAATAACAACTTTGACAGAATTAGAGGCTTCGATCATTGTGATGACCAACCATAATTCCAGAGGACTGATGATGAAATGTCCTGTACATTTCCTGATGGCGGGGTGAAGGACTCGGTGCAGAATGAGATGGTTTTTTGTTTGGCTTTGGTCTTGGACATGGCCACTGCAGAAGTGTTGTGCTTACCTGTACGTACGTGTCATGGGGATTTTGTTTTTCTTTCTAAATTGAAGGGGGCAGGTTGGAGCAGAGAGAAAAAAGGCAGATTTTTGCTCATTAAAAACATAAAATAGGCTTTTAAAAATAAACTGTAGGCCACTGAGCAAAAGGGAGGCCCTTGATGAGTCTGAGCCAGCTCCAATGTATTAATAACAAATAAATTCATAAGAGAGCAGCATGAAGGACAATATTAAAAGGTATTATCAGAAAAGGAAGTAGGCCTGTCCTGTAATGAGGGCAAGGGATGACAATGGACAGTCTGTGAGATCTGTGAGAAAGCAATGTGGATTGTGATGCTAAAGTTTAGATGGCCTTGCTGAGGAAGAGGATTTGTCACAGAAATCTTGACCAATCTTGGTTTCAGCTGTTCCTAACCTGTCTTTTACTTTCTCGCTTCAGTGCCCGGGGGATGACTCTTCTGAGTTGGGCCTCTCTCCAAGATTCCTATGGATGGGTTTTTCCTTGCCCTGCTTCCCACTATTTCATGAGATAGTAGTCCTGATGCTGTTCTGTTGTGTTCTTTAAGAGTTTATACATGCACACACAACCAGTGAGGATAAGAGGTGATGATCTATGCTGCTGTCTGTTCTTTTATCCACATGCTACTTTGTGGCTCTCGGTATCTTCTTTAACCGTGTGTAGGAAGGGAGCTGCCTCAATGGTTTGCCACATCTCTCAATTATTAGCCCTTGTGATTCCGTATTACTTTAGGGTTTACCCTGGCACATCAGTGATAGCACTGTGCGGGGACCTGATTCAGAAGTGGCTCCAGCCGTTTCTTGGTCGGTGGTGTTACTTGGTGGCTGCTCTATGCTCCCCTTCCCAGCTGTCCTCTTTAAGAGTGGTCACGGTGCTGTGACAGTGGAAAGGTTTGAGGGAGCAGGGCCTGTGCTGACGCGTGTGCTCTGCTGGTCATTCTCAGCGCGACGGTAGACGAGATCTTTTGTCTCATGCTGTGGGAGCTTTGAAGTCTTCACTTTCTAAATCCGGGCTTCCTGGGGAGGTGGGTGCTTTAACATGTTCAGAAGCCTTTATGTTTCTTTCTTCTCTTCCCCTCACCTCCCCAGACTCTCTCTGCTCCTCATCCTCTCCAGGGGCCTTGACTGCTCAGCTTCTGCTCATACTCATTGCGGCCTGGTTCTTGGTGCTCACCACCATGAAAGGACCAGGGGCACCAGGCAAGGATCGTTTATTGTTCTTCATGGTTACAAGATGAAGCCAACTGTGCCAACTTCTATGTGTCTCTCCAGAGAGAGCCTGGAAGTCACCCTTGGGTGGCAGCCTTCCCTTAGAGCTTCTGGCATCAGTTCCAGGAAAAGCATCAGGACTGAGGGCCTAAATGCTCATGCTAGATCAAGATCTTTCCCTGACCATGGTTAAGCCTGATCTTTGAGGAGGATCTACAAACCATGTTATTCAGAGCATTCACTGCCTCTCGCACATCAAGAAGTGAGGGCCATGGCCAAAGACTCCATCCCGTGTGGTCAGCCTGCTGGTGATAAGCCTCCATCCTGAAGGCCATTCTCAAAGCCTTTCATCATGACTAAAACCTGACAGTCTGTGTTCTGGGGGCATGTCTTTGTGAACCCCAGGTCACCTCTACCCCACGTGAGCCCCCACTGAAGCAGGGGACGGGAGCTTTGTGAGGCCCAGATTTTCAGGAGCACAGTCTAAGTCGATTCCTCATCAGTGGTACTAACATGGGCTCCAGGGTCAAAGGGAACCTGAAGAAGACAGAACCTGAGACATTTTTCATTTCCTATGTGCATTTCAGTTTTCACAGTGTGAATCTCACAGCGGCGGCGGCGGCTGCTGCTCCCTGTTATTTATGAGCAGACGACATGGCCTTCTTGGAGTCTTTGTTGGGCCACCCCCTCACGACCGGGTGCTGCAGGCAGGCTCGGCCCTCAGCAGGTCTGAGCAGATGTGGGTCCCTAGGACCTGATTGTATAAAGGGAGAAATGAAGTGACACGAGGTCTGTGATGGAAGGTGCATGTCATCTCTTCGTGGTCCTCCCTCTTTGGATCTACACTAACGTTTCTTAGCTGTGATTGTGGTCAGAGTATCCCACATAACAAAGATACCTGTGATTCTGTGAGGCCTGTAGGTATGAAGTGTAAGCAATTGGAAATCTAGGCTTGAAAAGTACTTAGGTGGTAAAGGGTTAGAGATGCAGTTTTGAGAACTAGTTTCCTATAGATATCTTCATCTTAATTTACAGGCAGAGATTATAAGCTGTTCAGATATTTAGTGAAAATATTTTACTAATGTATAATAACAGCTGCTAGAATTAAGGGACCAGCTTTTAAAATAGTTATAAATACTTTTTTTTTAAATTTAATTATTGCTTTAGAATAGCCCACCAGAATTTATTTGGTAGAGCACCATTTTTTGCTATATTTGAATTAACTGAAAGCCAAATTCATATTTATTTAAGATTTGGCCTCCCGGTCTACTCTCAAGATAACTTGAGGCAGTAGGCTATTTAAGGAAGAATTTAGGCTAAACTGTAGTTTATAAAACAATGACATGTTAACAGAATCTGTCTAATCATCTTTTAAATTGTAATCAGTGACAAGATTTAAGAGGTTCTGAAGGTCTCCTCTCTAGTCAGAGGCAGACGTGGAGTTTGAACCTAGGTATGATGTTGTCAAACCTGGGGCTCTTTCCACTGACCCTAATAGGCCCCTGGAAATTATCAGCTCATCTTCCACGGTGGCTAGAAAAGCATCCCAGAGGTGTGGGGGGGCGGCAGGCCAAGTGCCGGGGGGTACCCTTGCCCTGGTGGTTCTGTTCTCTGTTTTCCACAAGCTCTCTGCTCGAGACCTTTCATGTGGCCGTTGCAGCCAAAGGGCTCCCACCATCAGCCTTTAGACCTTCTCAAGAATCTCATTGGAGATTTCTGGTTAAACCCCTGCTGCCTCAGGGCATCCCAAGTGAGGAGCAGGACCAGAAGGAGAGGACCTCCTTCTTCCTGCCCACTCCTGGTAGTTGTTCTGTCCTGTAGAGCCCCAGGCTTCTGTCTGGAGGCAGGGCAGCAATTGCTATCCCAGCAGGCCAGGCAGCGTGAAGGCTGATCAGATTATGTCTCCTCCTGGCTAGTTTTTTGGGGGTTTTTTGTATTTTAAATGTTTGTTTCTAATTTCACAATGTTAAAAGTGAAGAGTATCACTGTTTATGTTATTTGACCAGCCTTGGTGTACTTTGTGCTTCTAGGCACTCAGTGGCTTTGTGCTGGTGGTCACCACAGATGCCCTGGTCTTTTACGCCTCTTCTACAATCCAGGACTACCTGGGGTTCCAACAGGTAAGTCGCTTTTGTTCATATCGATTGAAAAACACGTTATTCTGTGAGTCACGGGAGAGAGAGGGAGAGTGGCATGAGCCTGGTCGTCCGGGAGGCTAGGATTCTAGTCCAGCCTCTGCTACGTGCCTGCTGGGGGAACCTGGCAGGAGAGTGACCTCTCAGTGCTCTGGGCAGTTCTCTGAGGCCTTCAAGTCTCAAGCAGATGCTGGCCAGTGTTGATAGAGAGGAAGTCTTCCCACACAAGGGAAGTCTTGGGTCTGGAACAAAATATAAGTTTTCCAGCTTTTTAGGGGCACAGTTTGACCGTTTCATAAAAGGTTCTACTTATTCATTATTCTCTGACTCTTGTTGTTCGGTCACTTTGGCCGTGTCTGACTTGGGGGTTTCTTGGCAAAGATACTGGAGCAGTTTGCTATATCCTTCTCCAGATCATTTTACAGATGAGAAAACTGAGGCAAACAGGATAAAGTGACTTCCCCAGGGTCACACAGCTACACGCAGTCGGAGGCTGGATTTGCCGCCTCGTCTATGGGACTGTGCTCTGCCCTATCCACTGAGCCACCTTAGCTGCCCCTCCCTGACTGTTACAGATTGTAAACGGCTGTTTGGCTTATTTAGTAGAGTCTGAGCGTTGAACAACAGTGGGTGCCACTGGGGCCTTTGTTAGGCAGGAAAAGAGGCATTCTGGGAACTCAGAAGAAGTCAGAAGCATTCTTTACTTCAGATGCCATTTGGTTCTGACTTGTATGTGATTCACGGGAAATGTTTTGCTTTTTGTTTAGTCCACCCTACTTTTAAATAAGACTAGATCCTCCCACTGAGTAAATTGTTATGTAAAGGAAGTTGGCCATTGAGTTAGCTTCATTCTCTCAGAAATCAAACCCTCCTCCCCCACTCACAGTTTGCTTATGTCTTCAGAGGTGAACGAAATGCGTGGGCTGAAATGAAAGCGCCATCCCATCGAAATCTCGTGTCATGGAACATGTCTGTGTCTTGGTAGTTGGATAGATGAATGGATGGATGGATGGATGAGTAGAAATTTGCATGCAGAATGCATGCAGTCTGACTGTTTCTGCTAGCATTATGCAGTCAGCAGAAATCTTTATCAATTAAGAAAGTGAAAGAGGTTGGCTACAAGTCATCAACTTCTCCTCTTCAGAAGTGCTTTATTTACAGAAAGAAAACCTGGTGTGGACAGAGATGAGGGGGGTAGGGATGGGGGTAGGAGAAGGGAGGGGCCTGAGTAAAGTCATAGGACAGGGGAGGGTCCAGGAACGTCCACCAACACTTTTGATACACTCTCTAATACAATGCCTGGTATGTTGTTGTCTTCTGAGATATTTTTGAGTGCATGAGGCTCAGAGAAGATGGAGAAATGAGTCACGGAGCTTGCCTTCAGCAAACTTATTTGCCAGAGACTCACGATTGATTCAGATGAAACAGAAAAAAGCAGAGTATGTAAGAAACTGCTAGCTTACATACTAGGGGTCATAGCTGCCACTGAAGTACAGAAAAGCAAGTCATCACCAAGGGCCATGTGGGAGACTTGAAGGGTGTATGATGGCCTTGGGATCTAGGTCGATAGCAGAGAAGATGAGTCTGAAGGAAGACATGATGTGATCTTGGGGTGGTCTGAGCACAATGAAGAGATTGCTCTGGCCAGAGAAATGGGGTGTTTCAGGGGTTGTTAGTAGTAAAGTCAAATAAATAGGATGGGAGTCAGAAGAAGTTAGGCCCAGTGATGGGCAGTGAGGCGGGGTGGTGGGCTGTGGGGGAGGCGTCTCTGAGAGTTGGGGATCACAGGCCAGTTTTCCCAGTGCCTGTCGTCTTGGGTATCAGTCTCTTCTCCAGAATCGTTCTTATCCCTCTCCGATCTGAGGAGAGAATAAGATCCCAGGAAGAAAGCGCCTAGTATCCTTGATGGGTCTAAGGTTCCTGAGCCAGGTAAACTTCATCTTTAACAAACCAGACTCAGAGGTATCTGAAAGATAGTGACAAAGGGGAAAGGCATTCTTGGATGGGAACAGGGAAAATGCCGTGATTTAAAAAAAAAATGCGAAGGAGAGAATCAAGTCCGTAAAATACAGGCCACTGGGCTTAACTTGTATTCCTGGCATAATTCTAGACCCTATTAAAGAAGCGGCTGGTGACTTAGAAAAGCTAACAGTGACCGCAGGGGCCCTCACTCACAGTCCAGGGAAATATTCTACCTCGGTTTTAGCGGCTCATTCAGAAAAGTCTCTGATGCTCGCCTTGTGGCAGAGCGGGACAGCTGTGGGCCACACTCTGGTATATGTGGGTGAATTCTGATTACGTTGAATGGCCAGACCCAGAAGTGTCACAGACGGGCCGAATGAGGGCAGAAGCACATACTGTGTGCTCGGCACTGTGCTGAGTGGTGGCAGTACAAATGCGATCGAACAGACATGCCCTGACCTCACAGATCTCATGGTCATCATAAAAGACAAGAAATTGAGGGAAATTGTGGGAGTGTATTGATTTGATTCCTTTTTCCAAATAATAAATTGCAGATTTTCAGGTAAAGTTAGCAAGGGCAGCTAGGGTAGGAGAGAGGTGCATGACACTGGGATGACAGTGAGGGCAGCTGCTCTGAAAGTGGGCACGGTGGTGCTGGGTCCTGACTCAGTATGGTGAATGCTCACCCTCAGAAGCCCTGCATCACAAACCGGGGACCTAGAGGAAGGGCCTGCAAGGGGAGAGTGTGACCATCTACAAATGGCCTTGGGGAGGCACCCTCCTAGCAGCTTCCAAAAGCACCTCAACACAGGGCCCCGAACAGAGAAGAAAAGTGACGGATGACCCACAGCTAGGAGAGCTAGCCAACATCCTGAATGGGGGGATTCAATGAGATCTTGACAGGCGAGAGCATTTGGATGATTTCAGTAGTATGGAATTTAAACAAGATGAATAGAAAGTCTTATCCTTGCATTCAGAAAACAGTTTGAAAAGTGCAAGATGAGGCATCATTTCATCTGAAAGAAATCTGGGCAGTTTGGTGGGTGCCATGCTCCAGGTGAGTCGTCCCTGGGACAGGGCAGCTGACAGAGATGGTTGATCTCAGAGCACATTCCCCAAAAGCATGGCACCCTGGACCTGGGTGGCAATAAGTAAATGTCACTGCTTTTCTTTGCTTAGCCTGGGTCAGACCATAGCCAGAGTCCAGTGTTTGGTTCTAGGGGACAATCTTTGGGAAGGACTTTGAGTACCCAGAGGAGGCTGACCACGAGGCGCAGGGCCTCAAATTGATGCTAGGTTTAAATTGGTGAAGGAATGAGATGTGTTTCATCTGGAGAAGAGGCCTTGTCTGTCTTGGCTGACTGTTCAGAAAGGAAATCAGTGTAATTGGCGTGGGCACAGGGCCTCTGGGAGGCTAAGAGGGCACATGATTATTCTCAGAAAGCTTTTGAAGGCCTGTCGTGTTCAAGAAGGTTAGGTTGGTTCTGCTGGGCCCCAGAGTCAGCATCGGGAGCACAGAAATGTGCTGGAACCATGAGAGCCATCTGGAAAAGGGAGGGCTGCCCTTTGAGACAAAAAGCTTGCCCTCCCGATGGACAGCTGAACAACCACTTGTGGAGGAGAAGGGGCTAGCTGTGCCAAGTACTTGGAGGGCTGGCCCACAGAGCACGGGTGCCGTTGGCTCTCCTCAGCCCCCAAGGTAGGCTGGGAGCCTCTGAGACTCCACTTGAGGAGAAGCTTCTCTTAGGGAAGGCTCTCCCCCAGTGGAATGAGCTGCCCTTCTTCCCTGGAGGTTTGAAGCCAAGACAGCACGACCACTGGCTGGGTATTAGACAGAAGTCTTTCTTTTTCCTCTGGGAGTTGGTCTCAGTGGCCTGTGTCTTCCCCCAGGGAGGCCTTCTCCCTCCTTTGCTTCCACGTTTTCCACTCACAAAAGAGAACAGAGCCGTTTTCATGTGCTCCACGAAGGACTGTAGACGGGGCTGATAGATTTTACTTGACTTTCTCCTCAGTCTGACATCATCCATCAGAGTGTGTTTGAGCTCATCCACACTGAAGACAGAGCGGAATTCCAGCGTCAGCTGCACTGGACATTAAAGCCAGGCCAGGCTGCAGACTCAGCACCCCAAGGACAAGGTGACCTGGCTTCCCAAGTGCTGTTGTGGCTGATCTGATTCAGTTAAGGGATGGCTGTGGGGTGTCTGGGAGCCCAGTTTTCTCAGGCACACAGAAATCCCTTTTGGCTTGCCATGAGTTTTTAGGCCCACTAGTGAGATGCCCAGCATTGTCAGCTGTCTCTTTGACACGCTGACCTTGGATAGGTTTGGTAACTGCCCCGGGATGACTCCAGCCATTCTGGGGACCCTGTCCTCTAAGTCTAGGCTGCATGGGGACCCAGAGAAGCTTTGATTGTTTGTCTCTTCAGTTGAGATGGTGAAGTGATAAGAAAGGCAGGAATAAGGGGGTGGAGAATGTACCTTCAGCCAGTAGGAAAACAGAACGCAGCTCTGCTGTAGCCTCATGGACAGCTTCTGGAGCATGGCAGGGTCTGCTTTCCCAGGCAGGGGATTCTTCACTTAGGGCAGGGCAGAACTGATGTTCAAATGCCATGTAAATGAGCTGTTATTATTGTCAATCCTCGTCCTTCAACTTGAGAGGATTTTATATTTGTGAAGGAAATCTATAAAAAATCATTTTCCTAATTTAAATTTAGGAAATTTTATTGTGAGTAGGTAATTCACTATTTTCATCCCTTGTTTGATGGCTAAAGAGTCAGCTTTACCTTCTGGGGAAAGATTTCCCTGACAGCAGCTCTTCAAACCCTTGATTACAGCAAGGGAGGCAGAGCTTTGACCTTTCTTTGCGTTTGTCTTCGGATTTCCACAGAAGGCCATGGCCTGTCCCAGACCTCAGGCTTTTATAACCCAGAGCAACTTCCTCCCGAAAACTCCCCTTTCTTGGAGAGATGCTTTATCTGCCGCCTCCGATGTCTCTTGGATAACTCATCTGGCTTCTTGGTAAGATGAAATTCTTCAGATGATAGCATTGTTTCTGCATCAAAGTATGAAAAGGGAAGGCCTTTGCAAAAGTCATGAGGCTGACTTTGTGCATGTGGTTTTACCTTAGGGAAATGAGAGCCAGCAGAGGAGTTTGATAAAAGAAAGAGATATTGTAGAGTAATCCTAACTTTCTTTCAAGGATGCAGTAATAGCTGTTGTATGAAATATAGTTCGGTTTTGTTTATCCAGTCTCCGTCAAGATTGCACCTGGGGTAGGTGTAACAAGCAGACTTCCTCATCTCTATCAGAGCAAAATGCTCATGACTTTGGACTGGCCTGCTTACTGAGGAGATCTCAGCTTACTCAAGAGGAGAGCTCCCCCTGACTTGGGCTTCCACCAATCTCTTGTATCTTTGGGTGTCTTTGTAGAGACTGAGTAGAAGAGTAGATTAGAGTTTTGGATTTGAAATCAGAGCACATGGGTTTGAATTCCCCTCTACCCATGAACAAATCATTTGACGTCTTAGAACTTCTGTATTTGTCAAATAAGAATTATCCTCCTTGTACTACCTACTTTATAGGGTGATTGTGATGAAAGCATTTTTAAAATTAGAAAGGGCCACATACATAAATGTGAATTGTTACTTTGAATTCTGTGGGAAAACTGTGAACTTTCTGTTTATTTCCTCATTTAATATTTTCTCTTTTGTCCAAAAATGTAAGCCCTTGAAGGGGCAGGGATTTTTTCCCTTTATTCTTCTCTTTCATTCCCAGGGCCTAACCCAAGCTTTACCCTGTGGCTTAATAAATGCTTATTGAATTGCATTGCATTGACCTTATGCTATGTAAAAATAATAATAATATTCATAATCATTTACATTCTCTTCTTTGCATGATAGTAGGTTAGTTTCATGGTTGCTTTTCAGTTGTGAATTCTGTTCTCTTTGAAAGGCCATGAACTTCCAAGGGCGGCTCAAGCTCCTTCATGGCCAGAACAAGAAGGCCAAAGATGGGAGTTCCCTGGCCCCTCAGCTGGCTCTGTTTGCAGTGGCCACGCCGTTGCAGCCTCCGTCCATCCTAGAAATCCGCACCAAGAACTTCATCTTCAGAACGAAACACAAACTAGACTTCAGTCCTACAGGCTGTGATGCCAAGTGAGTGGGAGGCCTGCTGAGTAGCTGTTTGCATGTGAGCTCTTGCAGGGCAGCCCCTGTTTTGGGATTCCTTTGTAGCCCCAAATTCAGCCCTGTGCCTGGCACTCAGTATTTATGTGCTTTAGAAAGACTTTGGACTTGAAAGAAGAATCCTTACTTGGTCTCTGTTAGACTTTGTAAGAGATTATACAGAGATGAGTATGGATCAATACCCTCGGTCATTCGTTCAGCATATTTAACAACTTCTTCAGGCTTACAGAACGTCTTACTGTCTGGTAAAGCGTGTACAGTCATTTCTGTACTTATCATTGTTCAAAAGATGATAAGCTGACTCTGAGGAAGAGCAGGAGCTTTGGGCTGGAAGGCCCCAGATGGTGAATTTTGGAGCTCAGTATGTTTTTCGTCCCCAGATCTGTCTCTTCTCAAGGCCTGCTTGTAAACCTTCCATCTGTAGCTATGCTGTCTCGCCCCAAAGGGTCCACGTGGAGGCAGCAATTCTGGGGGACGCAGCGGGAGAGTCAATAACTTAGAGACAGGAGAGGCAGGGTAGACGACAGCTTGGCGTTTGGGGGTCAGGGCTGGCTTTCTGCTGGTGCAAGGTCGCCTGGGGCCACTTCCCAAGTCACTTGATCGTCTTATAATTTGAGCTTACGTTCAGGGTAGAAGGAAGGGCCGGAGAAAACCTTAAACTTATAACTGCCCAAAGAAAGACCCAGCGGCCCAAGTGCAGTTCTGCTGGCTGTTGGGAAGTGAAGAGGAAAAAAGAGATCACTTCAAGGCAGGCTGTCCGTGAAAGTTGGTTCTGAGTGTTGTTTCTTTCTCGAGTGTAGCTCTGTTTCGGTTCTCGTGGCTTTTCTCTTGCAGAGGAAGACTTATTTTAGGGTACACCGAGGCGGAGCTGTGCACGAGAGGATCTGGGTACCAGTTCATCCACGCTGCTGATATGCTGTACTGTGCAGATAATCATCTCCGGAGTAAGTGGCTCTCACCGAGATGGCTAGACGTGTCAGGTTGGACTGTAGGAGGTGACGTTGCCAGGATGCACGGGGGGCGCTGAGTGGAAGGACACCGGCCGCCCCCGTGGGGCTTCGTGTCCGGTCTTCATGCCAGCCAGGGTGGTTCAGTCATGAAGCAGACGGCTGTCAGGCCCGTGGTGCTCTGGATGTTTCCAGGAGCATGTAAGAAGCCTGGTCAGATTTGGGGCGGCATCTGAATTGGGACGGCCATTAGAAGCTCAGCCAGCACAACACTGCTTCTGGTTTTCAGAGGCGAGCAAAGGAGCGGGCGGCTGTTTCTGCCGCTGTTACTCAGTGGCAGATTGGAAGCGCATTCCCCTTGAACGCTGTTCTATGATACACGCTCCCATTTAAGCAAGAGTCCCAAAGGCACCATAAAGCGGATCTTTGGTAAACGTGGAGATGGGAGACAGGGAACAGGCCTGGGACTGGCAGATGCCATCCCGACTTTCCAAAGGGCGCGGAGCGGGTCCTTTGGTCAGTAGCCCTGGAGCTACAGAAAATCCTTGGCCACGTTGGTCAAGTTGGGCTTCGTGAGCCTTTAGAGAGGGCCTCACAGCCGTCATGGATAGATGAGCAAATGCCATCGACCAGGGAATGTGATCCAGTGGGAAAAGGGACACATTTGGACTCAGAGGACCTGTCACTGTGACTGGAGGCAGGTCCCCCCCAAGGCCTCAGTTTCCTCCCCTGTAAGCCAGGAGCTGGATTAGCTAGCTCCCCAGATCCATTACAGCTCCAGCCTGGGACCCTATAACATGGAATAGCTGAATTTCAGCAGGACAACGATCTCCCAGAAGTCTCTTAGGGTGCCCTTTTGGGGATGGGTGGAACCAGGGCTTGGGTGAGAGGCCAGCTGTGGACTCAGGAGTTGCCTCAATAATGGCCCCTGCTTGGCCTCCAAGCGAAAGCAAAACAGACCAACTTGGAGAGCCCTCCATATGGCTTCTGCTGGGGTGCAGCTTAAGATGTGGCCGCCTGACAGAGGAGGCTTTGCCTCACTCTGCCCACCTACCCACACATCTGCCCCTGCCTGTCGGTTAGCCCATTTATCTGTCCACCCCACAGGTTCCTCCTCCTGTTCTTACTTCTCCGCCCCTCACTCTCACACGTCCGTGTGCCCTGTGCTGGCCCCTTCCCTCCACAGGCACGAGGTCCCTTTCTTCCCTCCCCCACTTCCATACATGCAATGGTGAATTCATATTATGTAAAAATTGCTTTACTTAGAGGTCTGTGGAACAGTTGACTTACCTAAAGCAAGAATTGTCCGTATCTTTAACTAATAAAATTCTTAACATATAAAGTGAGAATTGAAGATGGAGAGTATTTATTTTTAATATCTTGAATTTTGCTACTTAGTAATTAAGACTATTGATTTTTCTTTCATTCTAGTGATTAAAACCGGAGAAAGTGGCATGACAGTGTTTAGGCTTCTCACCAAGGAGAATCGCTGGGTCTGGGTTCAGTCAAACGCACGTTTAATATATAAGAACGGAAGACCAGACTACATCATTGCAACGCAAAGACCACTCACGTGAGCACACAGACTTAGTACATATCAATGAAATCAGGCAATGGCATCTGTGATTTAGAAATCAGTTTGGGGAAATAAATCTCTCCAGCCAGAATCGAACTAGAAGTGGAAAAGTTGATGTTGGGATATTTACATACTTCTTCATGTGACCTCATTGTGCTCGCTTCTGCCATTATTGCAGACGGCAGCACCTCCAAATGGGAGCCACTCAAACGCATTTATTAAGAAAATTGCTGTAAATAACTAGGTACATACAAAATATGTGCGTATGTTTGTTGTATATGTATATTTACATATATACATACATGCACATATACAGATATATGTGTGTGTGTGTGTGTGTGTGTGTGTGTGTGTGTGTGTGTGTGTGTGTGTGTGTGTGTGTGTGTGTGTGTGTGTGTGTGTGGGTGTGGGTGAGAGAGCTAGCGGGAGCCATGTCGTTGGACGGTGGTCTCAGAGGGGAGGCTCTAGCAGCTGCTGAGGGGAATGGGAAAGCCCTGCAGAAGGTGAGATTTGAGCTGAATCTTGAAGGAAGCCGCAGAAACTCGGAGGGGGAGGTCACGTGGAAAAGCCTGCCAGGCATGGGGGCCAGCCTGGACAAAGGCCCAGAGGTGGGAGATGGCGTGTCTTGTGTGAGTAGCAGCAGGGAGGGCAGTGCATGTAAAATCCCAGAATGTGCAGGATGGAGTCAGGCCTAAGAAGACTGCAGGGGTGCAGGGAGCCTGTTCCATGGTAGGCCAGGCACTTAATAAATGACCTCGGTTTATTCATTTGACTGACCAAATGAACGCTAAAAGCATGGGAGAGGGAAGAAGAGTAAGTGATGAGTCCAAGGTTTGGAGCTTGATGACTGGGGAAATTGATGGGTCTTGGGAAGGTGGTAAAAATGGCTCCCTCCAGGTTTGGAGCCCGTCAGACTCTCCATACTGGGAAGAAGTGTTTCGGTCCGGTAGAGACAAGAGTTGGGGTGGTTCCTCCTCCATTCCCCATTCTCTTGGGTCTCGTTGTGTGTCTGAATGCCCATGTCAGTGTCGGGACCGTCGTGTTTTTTCTCATTGGGCGTGTTTGGGGTAGGTGGGGCAGACTTTGAAATAGATAGTGTACCATGGGAGGCATTGGCAAAGGGACCAGCCAGCGTGGCGTGCCCACGTCACAGAAGGCGCTGTGCTCCATGAGTGAAACAGTTGCAGGAGCTCAAAGAAACGTGAGATGTGCCACTTGAAAGATGTCCTTTCCGGATGTTCCGTAGAGTATGCGTGCCCACCGTGAGGCAGAGCCTTCTGAGCGTCATTGGGCTGATCATTCACGGTCAGACATACTGTACCTTGACCCCAAAATCGGGATGTCCTTTTGGTCCCCTTTGAGCAGGGAGGACAGCCACCATCTAGGGGGAGGTGGGAGGAGTTGCCCCATGGCAGCATGGACCTTGTGAAGCCCCCTCCTCTGGCTCAGTTTAGTCCTGTTTTTTCCCTTCTCTCCATGGCCACAAGGCAGACCCTACCCCACAAAGGCCTGATGGAGAGAGTTGCTTCCATGGAGAGACTCTCAAGGAAATACTAAGTCAAAGATCATTCATTGGGAAGACTTGACCTTGGTCCAAAGTGTCTTGTCTTGAACATGTGAGCAAACCTCACAGGCTCATCGTCCAGTGATGATTTGAGTGAATGGAAAGTGTTTCTGTAGAGAAGCGTAGTCATTCATCATCTCCTTCTTTCCTTCGAGGCTAATAGCTATCTGAGCTGCAGCTCTCCCAGGAGATTCAGAAGCGTTGGCACCGTCACAAGCATTACCCCGTTTGTGAGGGCGGACCGTGTGGTGTAGTGCCGTGTTCTCTGAAAAAGTCTCAATCACTGACCTTTCTTAGAATTTAAATAAAAATGACATCTATGTGGTGCCTTAGTTTTCTAACAGATTTCAAGGCCTCCCATTAAAGTTCCTACACAAGACCGGGCCGCTGCTGATGGCAGTCTGTGTCCACAGAAGGATTTCCATTTAGATTAGCCTGTTGGTCCCAGGTTCCTCTGAGGGCTCTTTTTAGCTGAGGACTTCTCTGAGCTGAGGACTTACTTTCTAAAGTAAGAGGGCCTCCTGCCGTTTCTGAGCCATTCTCTTTCATTTCAGCGATGAAGAAGGAACAGAACACTTACAGAAACGCCATGTGAAGCTACCTTTCTCGTTTGCCACGGGAGAGGCTGTGTTGTACGAGGTCACCTTCTCCTTCCCTGCGCTGATGGACCCCACGCTGGGGAGGACCAAAGGACCTGGGGCCAGGAAAGATGACTCCGCCAGACACCCTCAGAGCCAAGACTCGTTTCACCCCGGCTCAGTGCTGGCTGCCATGCTGCAGCAAGATGAGTCTGTGTACCTGTGTCCCCCTGCACCTCACGCTGCGCCCCTGCAGAGGGACTTCGGCGCCGAGACAGCAGAGGACCTGAGCGGCATCGTGAGTGGTGACTGGCAGGAGAGCCTCATGCCCTTGGGGGGCGAGGACGTGCTGCAGCAGGAGCAGATGCAGCTTTCTCACGAAGCTGGCTTAGAGCCCACAGGCCCCTTCCCCGAGAACAGAAACAGTGAACTGCACAGCATCATGAGAAGCCTGGGCATCGACTTTGAAGATGTCAGGCGCATGCAGCAGGATGAGTTTTTCAGAATTGACTTTTCTGGTGGGGATGACATCCGAGACATTGATCTGACAGATGAAATCCTGACCTATGTGCAGACTTCCCTGAACAAGTCCACCTTCTCCCATTCAGGTCCCCAGCCCCAGCCTCTTCTGCATCCCCAGGCTTCTCTGCAGCAGCAGCACCCTCTGCAAATCCAGCCTCCTGTGCGTCCCCAGCCTCCTCTGCAGTCCCAGCCTCCCCTGCAGCAGCAGCCTCTTCTGCATCCCCAGCCTCCCATGCAGCAGCAGCCTCTTCTGCAGCCCCAGCCTCCCCTGCAACAGCAGCCTCTTCTGCATCCCCAGCCTCCTCTGCAGCAGCAGCAGCCTCTTCTGCAGCCCCAGCCTCCCCTGCAACAGCAGTCTCTTCTGCATCCCCAGCATCCTCTGCAGCAGCAGCATCCCCTGCAGCCCCAGCCTCTTCTGCATTCCCAGCCTCCCCTGCAGCAGCAGCCTCCTCTGCAGTCCCCGCCTCTTCTGCATCCCCAGCCTCCCCTGCAGCAGCAGCATCCTCTGCAGCCCCAGCCTCCCCTGCAGCAGCTGCCTCAGGGGGCTCCTCACATCCCCAGCTCCAGCTGCATGGTCCAAGAACAGTTAGAGCAGCAGCGGCGACAGCAGCAACAGCATCTTTGTCAGAAGATGAAGCACCTGCAGGTGGGCGGGGTGTTGGCCAGCTGGAGGCCAGGCGACCCCGAGCCCTTCCCTTGTCCCCAGCCAGAGTCACAGTCCTATGATGTCTTTCCCGATGCTGAGTTCCCGTACAAGTCTGAATTCAGCACTCTGCCCTATACCCAGGGCTTGCTGTCCTATTCCCAGGCTCTGTTCTCCCAGCCGCCCACCCTGAGCCACTTAGACTTTCCCGTAGGAAGTTTTGAACAGCCACCATACCCGATGTCTCACTTAGGAGACTTTGCCAGCTGTTTACCGCAAACCCCAGAAAATGCAGGGTATGGGGGCCATTCACAGCCCACCCTGTCCGCCCCTCCATCGTGTTACGCGGGGGCTGTGTCGATGTTTCAGTGCCAGCCTGAAGGCCAGGCCTCCAGCGAGGGTCCGATGCACTATAACCCCATGGCCTCCAGTCAGAACACGTCGTTAGACAAGGTAAATCGTGTCCTAACTCGGTGTTTCCTCAATGAGTCATTGCGTTGGTTTTTGTGAGAACTGAGACTAAGATTCCATTCCTTTGATTATGGACCCTTTCCACAGTGAAGGTTGGAAAGAATGGAAATTAAGGGCAGAGCTGCTCTGTAGGGCCCCTCAGCTTCAGTCTCTCAGAGCCACCCCATTCCTAACATGGGGGGAGATCCCCTTATTTGGAAATGGGGGTAGTAGGCAGTGGGAGCTCACCCTTCGTGTTCCAAGGGCTTTTGTCCCCAAACTAGGACTGCAGCTTTTTAAGTCACATCTTTTATTGGGGAATTCCATGAGGAGACCTGAGAAAGAGCCCGAGTTTGACAGAACAGAGCCTCAGAAGCTCATTCAGAGGTCAGGCTAAGTCTGCTGTGAACTTTTGTGCATCCTCAATCCTAGAAGATGGATATTTTGCAAATAAAGACTTAATGTCTTCCTTGGTTTTTAAAAAATCAACTCTGTCCCCCCCATTTAAGTTTGTCATTTTAAGTAACTGATTGATAAACTTTCCTGAAGGCATTTAGACTCCAGTTTCCCATCAGTCCCTCATTAAACATTTGGTGAGCACCTGCCAGGTGCCTATTTTCTGCTAGGAGTGAAAGTCCTGCCTCGGTGACCTTTCAGCTACCCAGGTAGAGCTAGGTGGAGATCCACACAGTAGGCCTTCGGGTGGCCTGCTAGTGTGATGGAAGTCAGTAATGGAAGTGGGAAGAGGAAGCCAAACACCTGTGCTTATTGGTGGGAATTTCACCTACAAAGTGGCACTTTACCTGAGTTTGACCGACAATGAGGGACTGGAAGAGTCCAGAGTGAGGAAGGAGAAGAGGGCAGCCATGCGGAGCGGCCGTGGGCCCAAGCGGGGGATGAAGGGTCCCCTTGGGGATCAGTGCAAAGTCCAGTTCTGGTTGTACCATCGAGTGTGGAAGAGGAGGGTGCCCCAGCCCGGGTCTTCTGTCGGCTTCTGACCCAGCTCTCATTAGGGGCATGACCTCCTTCCTCCCTCCCCCAGCTCCTCCCAAGGAAGGATGCCACTGAGCCCAAGGGGCCCCTGTCCCAACGCTCCTTCTCGAGGCTGCTGGTATTGCCGTCCGGGCCTCTCACTAGTCTTCCACCTCTCCCTCTCTGCTCACTCATTCCCTTTGGTTTTTTGTGGGGGGTGAAGAGAAGGGATTCACTTGTAGTTTATTTACATTACATATATTTAGAGATTACTCCCACTTCATGAGAGGCCTCTTCGGTTCTTAAATAAAAGTAAAAATTGCAGCCTTCTCAGTCCCAGCCCCACTCCAGCTCCACGGGATTGTTCTCCAGCCTTGCGTGTACCTTGAGCGCTCTTTTTTGCCAAACTGGAGAATAATCAAAGGATGTTGAAAACAAACGAAATTAGAAGTGTATCTTGTTAGAATAATATTTCAAGGAGCATTTTTCTGGTGCCTTTTCCAGTTTAAGTGCTAATGATCACAGACAGCTAGGTGGTGCAGTGGATAGAATGCCTGAACCTGAAATCATGCAGATCTGAGTTCAAATCCAGCTTCAGACATTTATCAGCATGGTGACCCTGCGCAGGTCACTTAAACTTTCTACCTCAGTTTCCTGAAATGGAAACGTTAATGGCACTAACCTCTCAGGGCTGTTATGAGGATTGTAAATCATTTTGCAAACTAATGTTAGCGTCATTATTATTATGATTTATCTTCATTTAGCTCATGACTCTTTTTTCCAGTTTCAGAACGGTTTAAATGGAGACGTTTTAAATGAAACCTACCCAGCTCAATTAGACGGCCTGAACGACCCTCAGGCTGCTGCCTGTCTCCGCCAAGCAGAAGCCAGACCCTTCCCAGACTTACCATCCAGTGGCTTCCTATGATGCCTGCCCCGGCCTGCTCACCCGGCCAGCTAGATACTGCTTGTAAGGATGGGGAGGAGCCTCAGGCAGGGGCACTGCCAGAAACAACCAAACCAGAAGAAGCAGCCAGCACTTACCCATCCAGAACGAGGCTCTGCCCAGGCTGGCCCATGGGGCAAGCGGCCCGATGCACTGACTCAGGAAGCCCGTGGGAGCATCCGTAGGCAGAGCTGGGAGGAGATGCCCTCTCCTCCTCCCACGGGCCACAGCCCCGCGGGGCCCCAGGCCCTTCTCCTTCCAGCTCTGGCTGTAGCCGTGGCTCTCTGTGCCGTCATCAGCTGCTCCTGAGCCAGGGTTTGGGCTGCGGGTGCCCAGCCTGGCGAGTCCTGCCCCGGCCCCAGTGGGTGCGTGCCTCCTCCGCGTCCACCCAAGTGCCTCTGGGAGCGCAGGGATTTTTGATAGTAAAGACCATTTCCTTTTAAATAATGCATGGATTTCATCCTCTCCCTGCTTCATTCTGTCCTTTGGGCTTTCAGAAAGTATACTCTCAGTCCAGCTCTATTTTACCTGTGGTCGTCATCCCTGCTTTTCTTCAGGTGATAGAAGGTTGAACGAAGATATTTATTTAAAAGAAAATAATTGATTATCTTGCTGTTTACTTTGAGGCTTTAAATGTGTGCAACATGCCTTATCTTTTATTGAAATACAGTCCTCTTAAGGAAACAAAACTCTTTTCTTTCCAAATAATAGTCATGAAATTTATATCAAAAGGGTAACATTTATGGGGCAGCTAGGTGGCACAGTGGATAGAGCTCCAGCCTTGGAGTCAAGAGGACCTGAGTTCAAATCTGGCCTCAGATGCTTGATACTTACTAGCTGTGTGACCCTGGGCAAGTCACTTAACCCTGCTTGCCTAACCAAAAAAAAAAAAAAGTAACATTTAAATTAGGGCCCCTGTCTTCAGAAGGAGCCGTTGGAATGAGGACGAAGTTCAAGTTGCTGTGAGTGGATGCCTTTTGCTGGGCTGCTCTTTGGACTTTCCAAAGGGGCTCTGCAGCTGGGTTGTTCTGCCCAGGGAGAGGCGCGTGGGTGTGTTCGTCCAGCGTTACACTGGACCCGGTCGAGAGGAAGCTCAGGGTCCTCAGAGTGTTCAGATAAACTGAGTTGTCTTGATAAGTTTCAGTCTTAAAACCATGGGAATGATTTTTTTTTTCTCGTATTTGAGGATTTTTAGAAATGAAGCCACCGATGTTTGGTGCCGAGAGTTGTTCCAAGGGAAATTCAGAATTGTGTCTCATGGGTGGCACGGTGTCTTGTCAATGGACTGAAGAAAACTGTCCTTTGTAGAATAGTTAAAGTATTCCATTTTGAAACATGAGTCATATCTAAATACATATAGCTATTATAAAGTCGAGCTCTGTATACGTCAGTTAACGGCGTCTTTAAAAGATAAAATAATAAACCCAAATATGCTTAGGTTGGTGTCCTGTATTAGTGAGACAACCACTTGTTATTTGCAGTAACCAGATATCAGGAAGGAGCTTTTATGATCAACAGTTCCCAAGCCAAGTGCCACTTAGTGTAGGGCCCTTCGTTATCTATTATTTGAACCTTGATTGTTAAAGGGCAGAAACAGCTCTTGTCCCTGTTGGACGACATCAGCTGGAATCTCAAATGGAAACATAGCAGAAGGTTTTCTTTACAATTACTTTTACAGTAAATGAATACGTATAAAAAAAAATAAATTTTGTCAATCTGTTCACTTTCAGGAAAAAAAATCTGTAGAATGTTATTTAAGTATTAAGCACAAAATTGGATTGTCTAAAACATTTCATAATTTTTCAACATGAGGTGTCATTAAAATTCAGACCAGTAGTCTGAATATCTTTTTTAATTTTCCATCTAAAATTTTCATTAAAAGTCTTAACCACTTTCTGTAGAGTCTTCCATTTTTGGGAAATATGTATTTAATGGAAGAAACTATAGATTTTCAATGAAATTGTGAATGTGACAATCAGTTATATATAGATAATGTAAAACTGAAAGGTAAAAGGGATATTGTGTATTTTTATCAATAAAACTGTTAAATTTATCTTGTCGAGAATAATAAATGCTGTCGAACCAAATATACCTTGTCTGTATCGCTAAGTGCCAAAGGAAGCAGTAATACCTAGTAAGCTGCTTTCTAGGAGATTTATTTAGCATTTTTGCATTAGCTGAGCCTGTAACGGAGGCATCGTTGTGTTAGGAGATGTAATTTTCACTCTGGCTCCACAGAGCTACCTTTCCAATCCACCAGAGCCCTTCTAAGGCAGGCTCCCATTCTGAAGCTTCCAGTTGTTAGAATGCATAGCCTAGCATCGTTCAGTATTACTGTACTTTGGGTAACATCTTCATGACCTGTATTTCTTTCATCTCCCATTTGCTATGGCTTATACATACCATTGTGTAATTTCCTATTTAATATATGGTTTGTTGTGTTATTTCCCTTCAAGTAAAACTTGTAAATGGTAATATATGGTAATAAAATAATCTCCAAGTCCCCCCTGGATCTCAGCAGCTTCTTCTTTGGCGTGAACTCTTAACAGGAAAGTCCTTGTCTCGTCCTTTATTCCAGCTTCTGGTCATAAATGGATACGTAGAAAATTTGATCTGCCTCGCTCAATCAGGAAGATGTAAACTGACTGCTTCTGGGATGAGAAAGCTCAGACTTGCCTGAGTGCAGGGCAGAGCGCCTCTCAGCAGTCCCTTCCATGGTTTTGAACCATATTCGTGTTTCTGCCATGTGCTCTTTTCATGGAGGTGAATCCCTCTTAGTTTTCACCTGCTATTCAGGTTGTGATGGTGTTGAAAAGATCTGTTCCATCAATCCAGTTCAGCGGTTATTAAGCACTTCCAGTGCACAAGCCTCTGTGCTCTGTTCTGGAGCTGTGAGGACAAAACTAGAATTGATATAAAAAGCACATGCATGAGTCAATAGAAGCTCATGTGAAGAAGTGAGCGCTAGGAAGCACGGGCATAAGGAAAGAATTCCCTTAAGAGGTAACCGGAGTTGAAGCTGGCAGGGCGTTCAGGATTGTGAGAGGCAGAGGAGGGAGGGCATTACGGCACTGGCCACAGCCTATGCCAAGGGGGTGGGAGATGGAATGTCCGGTTTGAAGAACGCATAGAAAACAGTCCAGCTGGAATGCTGAGTGAATGAAGAGGGGGAGGTGGCCGAAATCTGGGAAAGCGGGGGGCAGCCCAATTGTGGAGGTGGTAGATACCAAAATGGGGCATTTGTGCTTTCTCCTAGGGGCCACCTAAGGTTTTTCAGCAGGGAAGGGCCACGGTCAGACCTGAGGGGTTAGGAATGTTAATACAGCAACTTTGGGGGTGGGTAAGTATAGATTGAGGAGGGGATAGATTAGAAATGAGATTGATTGGGAGGCTGCAATAATCCGGGCAAGAATTAATGAGCGTTGGAACTAGAATGGTAACCAGAGCAGTGGGCCTGGAGTCAGGAAGACCTGGGTTCAGATCCCACCTTAGACCCACTAGCTGTGTGACCCTGGGTAACGTTGGGTACCTTCCTGAGCCCTCAAGGTTCTAGAAGCCGGAGTCCTCCTCTATCACAATAACTGGTTATTGTTAGTGCTCATTGTCCTAATTCCGAGACCACATCATGCTAGGGTGGTCCCCATCCACTCCCAATGGCACTTTTAGAAGGGTCTGAACTCACCCAGGTGATCCTGAGCTAGGTCAGATTTCACTGTGGGCTTGGTGTTGGACTATGTGTCTCTTTTGCTGAGGACTGGCTCATCTGAGCATCATCACGCTAACACCCCAGGCAGAGCCCCCATCGGTGGGTATACAGATCTCAGGAAGTGTCGAACCAATGAAGACTGAAGGCATGAGGTCTTTATCTTCCACATGGGTTTCCAAGGCACCTTGTTTAGAGGCTAGTTCCAGAAAGCTCAGACTTAATTCAGAAAGCCCCATGAAAGAGCCTTCAATGGGCCGAGAACTGTGATTGGTTCTGGGGGCACAAAAAGAAACAAAATGTTCCTCACCCTCACTTTTTCCTAGAGTAATGATATGTACACAGATAAGTAGAAAAGCACAAAGTAGTATCAGAGTAGCCAATGGGGCTACTGATAAGCAGCAAAGCATCACCCATCTCCAAGAAGGGGCCTTGAAGGAGGTCAGCCGTGGAATGTTGCCCACAGTAAGCAGCGAGGAGAGTGTGGGTGGGAGGGAATCTGAAGTCAACCTGGAAAGATAACATGAAGACTTTAAATGCGAACCAGGAACTTTGTTTTATCCTGAGGCAATAGGGAGCCAGCAAGCCTTCTTGAGGGAGTGCAATCCTGTTAGTGGTAGTGGTTTGGCAGCTATGCAGAGAAGCAGCACAGGCCTTATGCTCACAGTGGCAGAGCCCAAGGACCAGGCAAGTTCAGCTCTCTCATACCTACAACAACGATCAAAAATATGACAGCACCAGATCAAGAAAAGATCAGGAAATCCAAAAGGAAGCTACAGCAGGGGAGTTTTGCCAGGCAGGGTCCTCACAAAAGCCACCAGAAGCCTGTGATATCTGGGTGGGGTCCAGACAGAAAGGCCTGCCCCAGAGGCAGTCACTGCAGCCATCCTGCGTGGACCAGAGACGGTCCAGGGAATCCTAGAGGCAAGAAGGCAGAGATCATGGCGCCCCTGCATCAGACCTCCCAAGTGCAGGCCATTGAAAGGGCACCTGCTGTGTGCCCCACCCTGAGCTAAGCTCCTTACAAACGGCATAGCCTTTGAGCCTCACAACACCCCTAGGGAGAGATGCTGTTATTCTCCCCATTTTATAGATGAGGAAACTGAGGCAAGCAGAGATGGAGAAACTAGCCCCTTCTGTCACTTGGACCCAGATCTGAGAGAAAAGAGACAAATTTTAACAATCAGCAGAGAAACCAATGAAGAACTTTTTCTTTGCAAACAGTAGTCAGCCATGAAATAGCTTTCCATAATACTTGGCTGGCACCACCAGAAAATAAAGGACAAAATGCAGCTCCACTTTTCAGACAAAGCGCGCCACCCACAAACTCCAAAGCCTTTTACAGACATCCCTGGCAAAAGGCTTTTCTTGTTCAGACAAAACATGCTTTTCCCACGAATGTTTTCATTCTTTTTTTCACTGTCTTCCAACATCTGTCCTACCCCTCAGCCATTTCCCAACACACACCTTCCCCCATTCCCTAACGCCTCCTCTTCTCTCGCCTCTAGAAAGGGGCTGTCTCCAACCCTTTGGGCCTAGAAAGGCCAAGCTCTGCCATTGATGAGCTGTGTGACCTTGGGAAAGTCAAGCAAATTCTCTGAGTCTCAGTTTCCTCATCTGTAAAATGAGGACTTCCTGATAGAGGCAGGGTATGTTATCTGTGAAATGAGGGTCTAGCTAGAGAATCAGCAGCCTTCTAACTCTGTCATCCTCATCGCCAATTGCGGATCTGAGTTCAGCCTGATCTTTCTCAGCTCTGAATGCCCCAAGCCACTCCTGGGACTCCCACAGGGGTGATGCCCTGCCATCCACAGCCAGTTTGGACCCATGGCATTGGACAGAATCTGCTCACCTTTCACAGCAATAGCCGCTTCCTGTTTCCTGGCCCTGAACTGAAGCCAGTCTGTCATGCACAAGCTCAGTGATGTGTATGTTTG